GCCGCCGAACCCAAGGTGGCCTGTGGTTGACAGCACAGCCCGCCGGAGCCGCTGCCCGTGCTCCTCCCCGAGGAAAGGATTTTGATTTCAAAGAAAGGAAGGAAGGAAGGACAACTCCCAGCTTCCCTGTCCCGCCCTCTCCGCTCCGGGGCGGCCCGGCCAGGCCATGCCCAGGAAGGCTGCGACGGCTCAGCAGAAGGGACTTTCCTGGCAGCACCGCGGCGAGGAGCTCGGACTGTGAGTTTATTCTGCCGCGGTTCATGCTTCCTGCAAGCCTTCTAGGAGACCGAACGCTGCAGCCTCTCCTCACGCCCCGAAGAGCCTCCGGTGTTCTCTGGCCCTCGGGCTCACCCTACGCTGCCCGGGCTCCGGCCGCCGCAGCCCAGTGCCCTCTACCCGCGGCGGTGGATGGCATGATGGTGCGGGGAAGGCACCGCGGCCTTGGCCAGCTGAGTCGCGGGGGCGGCGGCAGCGGCGGTGGTAGCGGGCTCCCCAGCGGCATGCCAGTGCCCCCTGGGCGCGATGGCTAGCGGCAGCGCTGGGAAGCCCACTGGCGAGGCGGCTTCTCCGGCTCCTGTGAGCGCCGTCGGTGCGGCCAGCTCGCAGCCACGGAAGAGGCTAGTGTCGGTCTGCGACCACTGCAAAGGCAAGATGCAGCTAGTGGCCGACCTGCTACTACTGTCCAGCGAGGCCCGGCCAGTGCTCTTCGAGGGCCCCGCCTCCTCTTGTGCTGGTGCGGAGTCCTTTGAGCAGTGCCGGGACACCATCATTGCGCGCACCAAGGGGCTCTCCATTCTCACCCATGATGTGCAAAGCCAGCTTAACATGGGCCGATTTGGAGAGGCTGGGGACAGTCTAGTGGAGCTGGGCGACCTGGTGGTGTCGCTGACCGAGTGCTCAGCCCACGCCGCCTATCTGGCTGCAGTGGCCACCCCAGGCGCACAGCCTGCTCAGCCGGGCCTAGTGGATCGCTACCGCGTGACACGCTGTCGCCACGAGGTGGAGCAGGGCTGCGCGGTGCTAAGAGCCACCCCACTGGCCGATATGACCCCGCAGCTGCTGCTGGAGGTGTCGCAGGGCCTGTCGCGCAACCTCAAATTCCTGACGGACGCATGCGCCCTAGCCAGTGACAAGTCACGGGACCGCTTTTCACGCGAGCAGTTCAAGCTGGGCGTCAAGTGCATGAGCACCAGTGCATCGGCGCTGCTGGCCTGCGTAAGGGAGGTGAAGGTGGCACCCAGTGAACTGGCGCGCAGCCGCTGCGCGCTCTTCAGTGGGCCCCTGGTGCAGGCTGTGAGCGCACTGGTGGGCTTCGCCACCGAGCCGCAGTTCCTGGGTCGCGCGGCCGCTGTGAGCGCGGAGGGCAAGGCAGTGCAGACCGCCATCCTGGGTGGTGCCATGAGCGTGGTGTCAGCCTGCGTGCTTCTGACCCAGTGCCTCAGGGATCTGGCGCAGCACCCCGATGGGGGCGCCAAGATGTCGGACCACAGGGAGAGGCTGAGGAACTCGGCCTGCGCCGTGTCTGAAGGCTGCACCCTGCTATCTCAGGCTTTAAGAGAGAGGTCTTCACCCAGGACTTTACCGCCAGTAAATTCCAATTCTGTGAATTAGCAACACCCCCCTCCACCCCATGCCCTTTCTTCTACCCCAGCCTAAAGGAAGACACTTATTCTCTGCCCCTCTCCATTTATACCAAAGAAATCATAGGTGAAACCCCTGCCCCCCCCCCACCATGTTAATTGCCCAAGAGGAATCTTCCAGAAGTCAGGGCCACGCACACAACTCACATGCACCGAAGAGCCCAGGTGTCAAGCAGCCCATACAGGAGTGGGGAGCAGAAAATGGGTAATCTGCTGGTTGTGGTTTTACCCCTACACCCCCCACCCCTGTCCGTCAACTGAATTTTATTAATTGGGCAGGAAGGAGGTCATGGGTTCATTTCTTCTTTTTTATTTTAATTAAAAGAAAGGTTACCTCAGTTTCACTCCTTAGACATGGATGTAGGTACCTTTTTTTTGTATGTTATTTTTTTAATTAATTGTGTTGAATTAGGAGTATACTTGGTGTGGAAAGAGTATGACTTTGCCATGTGATTTGCAAATGGGGGGAAAGCTACTGTGAGCGTGTTTTATTTTTTAATTTACACCATAGAGTGATTTTTTTTCCCCCAGTGTCAAGTTTTTACCTTGCATGTACTGGAGTATTTATTTCATCTATTAAAATGTTATGTTTCTCAGATGGCTTTTTGCAATTATTGTTTGATTTTCAATAGTATTTTTGTATGCTTTATGTCATCTAAGAAAGGGACAGTGGAAAGGCTACTTTCAATAGTGATGAGGAAGGTCCCCAATTCTCAACCCTTTCTGCTTTTTCCTCAAGAATTGTTCTTTTGAGCAGCCTAGGATTCAAAAATACACAAATGTATAATATAACCTATCTTTGAAGGCAGGTATCAGGAATATGATTGAATTATGTATATATAGTGCCTGGGATGAACTGTTTTGGGGGGGTTGTCTTGCTTCTTCTGCAAAGTAATTTAGCTTTGTCTCCACTCATCTTTCCATCATAATGATCTGAAGTTCAGATCTGATTTGTATTCTGACTGTCATTTTCAGATTAAAACACTTCCTAATCCTGTGTGGGCTGCCTTCTCAGCTGGGAGGATCTATGTATGGAACTTAAAGTACTGTGTAGCAAGTAAGAATCTTTAGCATCTTTCATGTAGATGAGTCTATTGAGACAAGATCCCTACAATTTTAGGGAGAAAAAATAAAGGTTCTAGATTTTCATTGCAAAAGATGTAATCTGGAAAGTAAGAACTTTTTTAGAGTTACAGTATAATTGCAGGCAGACAACTTATTTTTGTGACCTTGATCTCTTAAGATATACCATGATTGATTGTATGTTGAAAGAATGCTTTGTTGATTGAAATTTGGAGTTATGGTAAGGTAGTCTGCAGACATTTAAGGGGATTTTTTTTGGGGGGGGTGGGGTAGTAGTGGAATGTATAGTTTTAACATACCTAGTTAAAATGTTGAACATTTTCTTTCTAAAAGAATAACAACATTTATTTATAGTTCTTGAAATCTGGGAGGGCCACATGGATAAAAACTCATATGTCCCTTAAATTTGTATGGTTTACATTTTTTCCTAAGGATTTGTTATGCTTAAACCTTTGCAGTTCCCACAGATCTAAAGAGAATTTTTCACTGTAATACATTAGAGAGAAGAAAGTCATTTTGACTGTTTTATTTGTTTGAATGGCTATGTTTATTGCAAGAATGTGAAATTCAGTGTGTAAATGTCTTTCACTTTGGGGGTAAGGCTAGGACCGTTTTGCAAATTTGGAATTGAATAAGTCTTAAAGTGGTATAGAGTACATACATGTTTCATAATGGTCAAGGGGGCAGTTGTTTTTCTTTTTAAGGACCTGGTAGGTTTATACTTTTAAAGTAAAAGATGAAGGTGACCTTGAGTGTTTATTCCTCCTCCCCACCCTTTTGTAAAATGTATCTATCTGGATCAGGTTCAGGAAGATTTTGCTGGGGAGAGGGAACTCATGTGTCAATGACAATTCTATAAAACTCTTACTTTATTGGATGTATACAACTAATGATAGAATCTGTAACCATATGGCTCATTTAACCTATGCAGATCACAAAAGAAGTAAACTAAGTAAAATAAGAACGAGAAATCTGTAAATTTAGGGTTTAGTTAAGAAAAAAGTATTGCTAATGTTTTCCTGGACTCATTTCTCACAGAAGCAATTTTCAGGAAAATTCAAACCAA